TTGTCAGTATTTCATCTTCATCATTAGGATTTTTGTGATCCAGTATCCTCCTAATAGGACATTAGAAGCATTCTCTTTGCTGTACAACATAAAGATGTGTCACTTCTAGTGCAGTGTGCATAAGGCATGAGGTTCAGTCTCTTGTAGTCTACAGAAGTTAATGGGATTTCATGCTTGTGTTTAAAAAGCTTCAAAAGCGTTCTCAATTTGGCAGTCTTTTAGTGGAAGGCCTTTGACACTTAGACAGGATTCCAATAGGCTGAGCTGAAGGTTATTGAAGTTAGCAAATAAAAGGACTTAGAGCTGAACTAAGTGGTAAGAAAGCCGATTTAACTGGAATCAACAACCTCTTTAAACTAGAGATATAGAAGAGAGAACATGATCAGTGCATTTAAATGGAAAAAAATACTTCATGCTATTTTGGAAACAACAAAGACAGAAAACATTTGCATTCGTAAACAAATTCTTAACTCTTATTTGATACATCAAGTTTTAACTTCCTAACGTTTAGAAATCTGCAGTTAAATCAGCTAGACAATATTGACTCTGCCCTAGTGTCAGTAGTTAAAGCTTCCAAAATGCACTTATTTTCTTTTGTAGATCTCTTGTAATGAGCTATTTTTGGATCAGTGACATTTTCTATGCATTTTGAGTCAGAAACCATCTGAATTTTGGAAATAACATCGTACTCTATTCCTTGTACACATGCTGCTTTCCACCCACTCCCACCGCCCCAAAGGAGTGTCTGCCTTGGGTTGTAGAAAAGATACTGTCTCTCCTTATAAGATGATGTCCTCATGTATTTTGCCTATATTGTGGTCCAGTTATAACAATACTTCTGCATTGACATTACAACTACAGTTTTGTGTACCTAGAGCCATAGTCATAGTAAAAGGCTTTTTTGGTAGATTGACGAAGAGCTTGGGATGGGTCAGGGTTGCTATATTCTCTTCCGACTGCTGATTTATCAATGTTTTGTCTGGGATTTTGTTCTTGTCTCTGCTGCAGAGCTTCCCATGTGCTGTTGGGTGCAGGTACGAAGTGCTCAGATGCAGTCAGAGTTTGTAAGGAAGTTTGGTGTGAAGGGTGGTGGTTGTTCTTAATGTCTATCAGATGTCAAAGAGCAGGGTGGGGTTTTGAGTTTGCCTTCTGGAAGGGGTAAAACCCAGGGCACAGTGGAAATGATGGGGATAAGGCACTGAAGTAGAATGTAGGAATTTAGCATATTTTGGGGATTCCGGCCTTCTGCTAACTTTTGGGGCTTGTCCTTAAACCAACTTTCAAGACAGCATTTCTGGGGGCATATGATTTCCTGCAGGCTTTACAGAACGAGTTCATTTTAATTTTGCCTTTTTCTACTGCTTTGTTTAATGTGCCATGTTCATTTGCAGATGGAACACAGAGTGGCAGTTTTCTAGCAAGCTGACTTAATTATATCCAAAGGCTTGTAGAATCATAGAATAGTTTTGGTTGGAAGGGACCTTCAAACATCATATAGCCCACAAGCTTTGGTGGGACAGTGTATGAAAGTGCAGTTTAAGTTGTGCATACAAATTATCATGAATTGACCTCTAACTGTAATAAAGGAAAAAGATTAATTGCCTTGTCTTAGATGCTACAGTTTATTTACATTATGATTTTATGTGAATAACTAATAAATTACAGGAAGGGAGGCAAGAATTAAAAAACCCTCTACTTACAGCATAGGTATATTTCATGTGTACTAATATGTATTCACTAATATGTATTTGAGGTTGTGAAAGCATTGTAGCTTTTACGCACCTAGACAAATGCAAGGAAAAAGTAAAATGATCCCCCCAAATCATCAATCATGTACATGGTCGTCTTCAAGAGAGTCTAACACCTTATATAAAGACAGCATGGTAAAACTTTTTTTTTGTTCTTGTGCTTAAATAAATGGCATTACATGTCTTTGGAAACCTGACCTAAAATTTGACTGGTTTTGATATAACTGAGAAAAGAATGCAACTTTAAAATAGTTTGAGGGCATTTTTAACTAAATGTGGATTGAAAGGATAAGTTCAGCTGTATATATTCAAAATAAGATTTTCAGGTTCTAACCAATTATAGGCAAAAAACACTTGCAGGTGATGTTTTTGCTTCAATACAGTCATATAAAGGTTGAGTAGATAAGGGATGGAAAAAATCCACTCTTAAAGGAGGCACAACTAGAAGAATAGGTAACTTGTATTTAAAAATACATCCTTCTTGAATATCTTGAGCCAGTAGCTAGTAGAAGACAGGACAAAACACTTCTGGATGTATTTTTTACGTTCTCTTTTTTTAAAGATGCAGCATATGGATAGGAGAATACCAGAGGTTTGTGAAAGATGTGATAACCTTGGCGTAAATAGTGATTTGAGCAAGTCTAACGTTTTGTAGCTGCCCTTTAGTCTTGCAGGAAGAAATGTAAAGTATTCATCAATCATGTTATATTTGAAGGTGCTTTGCTTAGAATTCAGTATCATATGAAAAATTATATAGAGGGGTATGTGCATTTAGGAAGAGTTAACATTTTAGCAACCTTCAGCAGATAAAATATAAACAATGCCCCCCAACTAGAACAACAGTTACTCTAATTATTATAGATTTCTTCCTTTAAAAAAAAGTATTCCAAGCAGTGTAAAAGGGATGAATAATTTCATGATATGAAAATTATAGAAGTGTTTTGCACTCCCCAAAAGTGTGGATGATTTCCATTCTTTTTAAAATCTCCACAGGTTACCAAAAGCTTTTATAGTCATAATTTTTCCTTTGAAGATGTACCTCATAAGAGCTTGCAAATAATTTGCCCTTTTTATTGTATTTTGCTTTTGGTTTAGTGTTCCTTTCTTCTTCCTAATACCAGTTTTTAAGGTCTAGGGCTAAATTGTAGAACTTGTTATTAATGTACTCCTTCTCTTCCCACCCCAGTTATGTTGCTGTCAGTCATTTGACTTGCTATTGCTCATGGGGCACTACTGGAAAAAAAGATGAGGCTAGTAGAATTGCAGTCACTGTATGCCCAGTCCATTTCCTAAGCAAATGTGTTATCAAAACTGTTCTGTAGAATCTTGTCCTGGGTTCAGCTCCAGCAGTCATTTTTTCTCCTTCTTAGTAGCTGGCGCAGTGCTGTGTTTTTGACTTTCAGTCTGGGAACAACGCTGATAACACCGATGTTTTTAGCTGTTGCTCAGTAATGTTTACTCTGACCAAGGACTTTCTCAGTCTTATGCTCTGCCAGGGAGGAGGGGAAGCCAGGAGGAAGCAGAGACAGGACACCTGACCCAAACTGGCCAAAGGGGTATTCCGTACCGCAGCATGTCATACCCAGTATATAAACTGGGGGGAGTTACCCGGAAGGCCCAGATCGCTGCTCGGGTTGGGCTGGGTGTTGTTCGGCGGGGGGTGAGCGGTTGGGGCCTCTTTCCTTGTTATCCCTTATCATTATTATTGGTAGCAGTAGTGGTTTGTATTATACCTTAGTTACTGGAGTGCTGTTATCTCAACCCGTGGGAGTTACATTCCTCCGATTCTCCTCCCCGGCTGGGCTTGAACCAGGACATTGGGAAGAAAGGGCTTTTGGGGTTGTTGGGCTTTGGTCATTTCTTTTGTTTGTGTTTTTTTTAGTTGTTTGTTTTGTTTTGGTTTGTTTTTTCATGGTTTTTTTTTGTAAATGCTCAGCCACTTAATAGGACCAGGAGGAAGGGAAAGATGGATTTGGTGCTTTAACTTTTAGTTGCGTACAGAGTTCCCTTTTCAGGCAAATTCCTACGTACTAGTTCATTACTGTTAAATTGTATCTGCCCTCAAACAAGAGATCGCCTTTTGTTCTGTAGAGCATCTGTCAGTCAAAGCCTTCGAGTTGTATCAGAGTGCCAGTGGAACATAGTTATATGTCTGGATGTTCAGGCAAGTCACGCATTCAAATAACAGATACAAAATACTTCAAATACCTTAGGAACTGGAATCCCAAATGGCAAACAAAACTCTGAAATTGCATCCATCTCTTCTCATATTTCAACATCAACCAGACTTTTGGCCTTCATCCTATTACAGAAACTCACCAATCTCTCCTCAGGCTGTACTGTCATTACAAGGTGAGGGGACTTGAATTCCCTATTTTCCATTTCACCTTTCCCTAACGCATCCGCAGTTTAATCTTCCTGTTGCTTAGTTATTGCAAAAATGGGCCAAACCACTGTGAAGATAAGTATGCTTTCTTCTGAAAGAATATATGTTGTGACATATAAGTGAACTCAAAAGTTCTTATTTTAGTGATTAGAGTATGAAATAATTAAGCTTTAAAAGGACCTCAGATCATTCTTTCTAAGTCCTCAATTTCCTAATGATTTAACAAGTAAGAAGGAAAAAAAAATAGAATTTCTATTTGCCGTAAGTATGTATGTTTGCTTTTTCCAAGTAGTCAGTGGAAAAAAATACCTTGCTTATTGCCCAGCTCTGCCACTGGCCAGAGCCCTCTCTATTTTCTTAGTATTTATTGTTACTTTCTTCACAAAGAAGAAACTACGTTGGAGAAGCTTGAAAGCTATTCTTGTCTGGGGGTTTTACACAAGACAAGGCAGGAAAAACCTTAGGATTGGGTTTGTGTGTGGATTTTGTTTGGTTTTGTAGTGGAGTTATCTATCTGGTTCCACTTGCTTTTGCTTTAAGTGTCAACCCTTCATCCTTGATGTGATTTCTGTTAACATCACCAGATGTTTTCGTCAGCATCTTGTACACTGAACCAAATAATATGTACAAAAATTACCTTGCATCTGGATCTAGTGAAAACATGGAAGATATTCCTTAGTGCAGTGTTCCCTCATGCCTGGGGTAGTACGTTCTTCTTTGAACTGTAGTTTGTTTAGGCTAGCACCATTGTATTACTTACGTAGGAGTTCTAAAAATATAACATTCAGCTGGTGGTTGTGGGAACAAAATGCTGTTTATAAGCACAGCAAAGCTAAGCCTCTTAAAGAATAAAAAGGAGGGGGAAAATGCATCTTCGATTTTCTAGTGAACGGGAGACGGTTGGTGAGAAGGATGTATGTTGAAAGGGTTCAGGAGTAAGATAATCTGATGATACGTGATGTATCTCCTGCTTCAGAAGTTTCTTTTTCAGTGATCTTCCTGCGTGCTTCAGGACCAGATATCCGGATATTTGATACTTGGATTTGAAGGGTGGATTTTTCAGAAAAACTATAGATGCCATAAAAGCATAACTAAAGCTGATTAAGTGGAAAAGAAGTGGCAGCTTTTATCAAAGTGATTATTTTGATAAAGAAGTTTATTCTTTTGGCTACAATGTACGGAACACAAAAGGCATTTTAGATATTTTTCCAAAAACAGAAAATGAGGCATTGACCAAGTGTCCAGTGTTCTCATTGGCCCTTCTCCTTGTCTCTGTGTCTTGACAAGAGTTGTGTTTCTCTGGACATCCTTTCCCTTGCATCAGTTTTTTTTAGATCTTGTTAGTGACTTTTGAGTAATAACATTAATATTGGACTTGCATTAAATAATTTCTCTTTAAAGATAAAATGAGCTAAATGGATGTAAAACAGATTAATTAAGCCCGCTGTTTCTTTTGTAGTGAACAAACACAAGCCCTGGATTGAGACATCGTACCATGGAATCATAACGGAAAACAATGACACTGTAATCCTGGATCCTCCCCTTGTTGCTTTGGATAAGGATGCACCTGTTCCCTTTGCAGGTAGGATTTTCAACATTTTTAAAAATAAAAACTCAAGAATTATGTCACAAAAGTTGAATTTTCTTTTATAGAAATGAATCATTAAAAATGCCTAAATTAGTAATGCGTAGTTAATTTTCTTTAGTAGTCATAGTCTCTGCTTCTGCTTTTCCTGTTCTGCTCTCTGGCTGTGGACAAACTCTGTGACAAATATTGAATGTTGCTCAAATCTTTTGTTACTGTGTTAGTCCTTTATAACTGTCAAGACTTAAGACAGAAAATTTAATGGGGGTTTTGAAGATTTTTGCTCACATTGCTGTATGATAGATGTAAGTCAGATGGAAGTTTTTGACTTGTTTTAAGTCTGTTTTTCCTGTCACGAGCAGAAAATGGTACTTGTGCATGTCAAGCAAATTTTCTCTTAAATTTCCTGTTTCCTTACAAATATTTTTTCAATTAAAGGGAGACTGTTAGGACTTGATAGCTGTTTTGAAGCTCCTGAAAAGGATGAATCTGTTAAAAAGATAATATTGCTTAAGAATGTTCATCCTTTATAAGGAAAGGAACTAGTGATGATAAGTATCCTTGATCTTGTGAAATAGTCATATTCAGTAATCACTGAGTACTTGGCTCAAACAACATTTTAAAGCATCATGTAAGATTAACCATTTTCCCCAAAAGCATATACTGACATAAACTCATCCCTTGTGAAACAGGGATTCACGAATGTTTTTATATACTGAACCCCATTTTTTATCTTTTATTAAGATTGGTTTGTCATTTGTATTGCTCTGTGTTTTCTTGGTTGCACAGAAGACAACTTTTTTTTTTTCCCCTCAACCATATATGCATTGGGGATGTTCAGTGGAGGGGATTCAGCTAAATTGGGTCAAAGCTAAAAGCCTCAAAGAGTATAGATGCATGGGTACAGCAACCTCAGCATGAAACACTTCTGTCTGCTCATCAGGTCTTATGACACTGAGTTATGTTTTAATGGAGGCATAATCAATATCCAGTTGTGGATAAGTAGCCAGCTGTTAACTGGGAGGTACCAGTTATAATCAGAGCAGGTGTACTTCATGCACAGATGTTTAGGATAAGGTATCCTTACCTCAGTTACTAGTTTTCGAAGCAAAGGAAAAAGTACTTAGTGCCAATTTCATGTTGGGTTGTGGTTTTTTGGTTTGTTTTTTTTTTTCATTCATCAAGAGGCAGCTATATATAAAACAAACAAAAAGTGGGGAATGAGACTTTGAATGTAAGGATTTCTTCTGTCTGTGAAATCTTCAGCTACAGTTCTTCAGCAGTGAAGATGGATGCCTAGTGAAAAGATGCCCTTTTCATTTGGGCGGGGGGAGTTTTTCTGTTTTCTATTACTGTGAATGTTTCATCTCTATTTGTTTCCTTTGCTTGCATTCCCTTGGGACCCTTACAGGAATGTTAACCACGTGCTATTTCTACTGATACTTTTACAAACTGTTTGCTGACTGGGGATTTGCTGGCCTGATTACTGTATTCAGTTTTTATACTGGGACAATCGACATGAATGAGTGATTTATTCTTCTTGTAGAAAGTCATCCTTTGAAATACTGAACTTGCACAGACAGACTGGCTTTTGTGAGAAAGATAACGTTAGAGAGGAGTTTTCATTTAGCTTCTTCATTGATTGATTTGAATTACTTATATTTTACAAAGTATTACTGGGACTCGGAGAGAAAATACGTGCTGTGTATTCCCTGATATTAATAGTTCATTTCCACATAATAATAGACATTTGGCCTCATGGTCTGCAGCCCCAGACATGTTACAGCACTGAGTGAACATTAAATTCCCATGAAGGGCCTGGATTCCCTCTACCTGTTTGGAAAAACCTCTGTGTGCTTTTTCTTTTAAGCCTCTTGCCTTCTTAAATTGTTGGAGTAACTTCTTATTCCTGTTTTTAACTTTCTGCTTTAACATCATTTTATCAAATGATTTTATTTGTCTTTATAATATCATTAATTTTATTATAGGTCTTTATGGAAAATTCAATTTGTGTAATGTATTTAGCAGGAGAAAACTGAAAAGAGATACCGTTATGACATTAACATTCAGTAGCTGTACATTTAAGAGTATTGTAAAGTTGATTTTTTTTTTTCTGTTATCATAATTTAAGTGTGGAAAACTCAGTAGCTTGTCCAACTGTTGTTAAAAAACAATATGCCTATTTGTTCCATATTTACTTCTGTATCTTGCTAGTGAGGGTATTGTCCTTTTGACGCCATGCTTAGCTTGTTGGAAGTAAGGGTTAGCTATTCCTTATGTTTATGGTAATGGCAAGGAGAGCTTCAGAAAGGAGGTGCAGTAGTGTGAGGCCAGAAGGTATGCCATGTCACAGAGGGTGTACTGGAGCCGTACGCTTCAGGCTATAAACCTCACTGGTTGTTTTTTTTTTTCTCCGAGTTGTCTGCATTATGCTTTATAAAACAGAGTTAGTGTTGAGGTCTGGGATATCTGTAGATAGGCTAGCACTGTGGTCTCTAGGATTACAATGGTAGCAAGATGTGTGCTATTAATAGGAGATACCAAGAGATAAAGAGATGACACTGTTCTTCCCATGCAGAAAAGCACAGGTCTGTTGTATAGCCCTGGCTTGAAGGAACCAGAAAGGGCTGTTTGTGCTACTCACTGTGCAGGCTCTTTAAAAGCACTGTGAAAGCTCAGTTGTTTGTGACGTCGACCTACTCTAAACTATTTCTGTTTTATCTTCTGGAAACTTTAACATTGCCCTAATACATGTTGCTTTTTCGTCTCTCCATGGCTCCTAAGGTCTTGTCGACCTGTTCTAGTAGTACACACATTATGGTGAATGTCAAAGCCCTTATCATGGACTGGTCACAAGAGAAAATTACTGTAATCTGCACTTACATTTTCTCTGTCTTAATGTTTAAAATCAAGGGTGATGACAGGAGGAGAAAGGAACTTTCTGTGCAGTTACCCTCTCAACAGATCTGTGTTTCCAGGGGGGACTAACAAGAGACTAACAGGACTAAGTGTGCCTGTGAAAATGGTGGCTGTCAAATGTGATCAGCCCATTTCATAACTGGAGCATGAAGACTTTCACAAGATTGCAGTGAATGGTCTTTGGTATTTCTTCATCTTGTGAAGTTACCGTGAATTGTGCAGTAATTGGAGTATATGTAAAATCATAGTTTTTAAAATTATCACGGTATGATCATATTCACTTTATCTTTTTCATTCTTCAGACCCCTAGTACATCTGTCCAACCCCTAGTTTTGAAGGAGAGCTTTAAAATACTATTGCAAATGGTTAGGCGCGAGAAGGAATAGGAGTAGTTTTCTAAACTTAAGTTTGCTAAGTCCAGACCTGAAAAGGATTTTCTCACACTGGTGTTGAGATAGAACTGCTATTTAACGTTACTGGACTCACCATAGCCTTCTTCAGGGCATCACAGAAAAAGCCCCAATAATCTCCCCCTCCTCCCCCTCCCCCCCCTAAACATGAACATACTGCAAGTCCTGTAGAAACAGATTATGCCTTCCGTGCTTCTCTTCAAACAGTATTGTGTTGGTGCAGTATGGGCTTACTTACTATCTTATTATTAATTTAGGGAAATCCATTGGAGGAATCTCTATTTAAAATAATATAATATTTTTTTTGAGTGTAACTTCAAGTAGACTTGTACTAACTTGCAGGATCAGCCATACAACAGGCAGCTATCTCATGCTGGTTATGAGACTGAAAATCACTTAAAGGATTTGACTTTCAGGCTTAGGAGTGGTTTAGCTAGAAACCTGATGAGATCATCTGAATCAGTTTGACAGTATTCTGTTTCTGTGATAGCAAGAAGCCCTCACAAAACGCTGTAGGATTTTGAAAGGCTTTTTAGAAAAAAACACCTGTCTGCATTTTAGTAACATCAACTCCAAAAGTAGATGTGAAAGGAACTTCAGGATGTCTCCAGTCCATCCTTCTGCCTAAGGCAGAACCTATTATACCTGTGTTGTTCCTGATAGATAGTTGTCTGTCCTAATCTTAAAGATCTATAGTGGACAATCTGTTCCACGCTTCACCATACTCAGTTTTTTGTGATGCTTAACCTGAACTTTCTGTACTGCAGATTTAGTCCATCAGTTTTTCTCTATCCACCATGGCTAGGCGGAGCAAATTATTCCTCTCCTTTTTTTGCAGCGATGCCTTTTTATGTTATTCCCTAGAAGCACTCTGAGCATCCTAAACAGCACAGGGGTTGGGGATGCCTTCAGCTAGCCATTGTGTTTTACTGATACAGGTGTGAAGCAGAGAGGAGGTCACTTCCAGAACAGTGAGAAGATGAATGACCTTTTCACCATGAAAGTGAAGAACCCAACTCTTCACTGTGTCACTGTTATTAGCCTGATACACTGGCATTTGAGTGCCACGTATCCAGGGTTAAGCTGAATAATTTTATCACTGTGAGTTGGGATCAATAAGTCTTAAGCTGCTTTTATGCTCTGGATAGATTTACAGATACCCTTTTTTAAAAAGGGCAGATATGATTGTATCTCAGAAGCAGTTGCAAAGCAGACTTTGTTTGCAGATGGAGTCCCAGTCTCTCACTACTTTTTGGCTGTGCTAAAACCACTGTAAAGCAGACAGTCAAACAAGCCAAGATGGGTGACTGAATATTCATTAAACTACAGGGCTGCATCTAAAACTCTCCCAAATTGTGTGGTTATTTTAGCAGTTCAGAGGAGCATGTGTTCTCAGCTGCACCACAATAAATCCAGTAGTTTTGTCAGTCCACTTACACCCAGGGGCTGAACACAAAATCCCATTTCTCTGCTTCAAACTGTGACGCTGTCTTGAGCTTTCTTGCTTGGTTGGTTTTATTGATAAGCAGCTGCATTAATAACAGAAACAATCTTTTTGGTACAACATTAAAAATATGGAAATTATTTTTGAAGCAGTAATGCTGAATATAACGGGTTTTAACTCACTGTCAGCCAGACGTGAAACATGCTGTCAGTTTGTGATGCCCA